TTTTACTTTTTAATGGACACATATGTTTCTTTATTCTTCAACATGGTCTTATTGTTAAAAGTGGCTAAGGGAGTGGTATATAGACATACTGTATGTTTGATACCTTTTTGGGTTAAATCATAATTTTTCAAATTTGTTTCTTTTATTCAGGTGTACATACGGTTCTTACAAAATGCGTTGGTCCAGAAACTCGTTAAGTTCCTTTCGCTCTACCTACCTATTGTTCTCTATCTTTCACATAAGATAGCACCTATTTCTTTCCGTGGGAAAGGTTTCCGCAGGGTAAACCATACTATACGTAACTGTAGAAAGCGAAATTTTCCACATTTCACGTGCACAAGCTACATTTGAGTACAGTAAGATGTAAAATTAAAATTAAGAAGACCCCCTGAACATTGGAAAAACACCATGCAAATGGTCCCCTTTAATTCATAAATATGACAAGCTTGCAAGATGTTCTAAGTCATAAAGTAACAAGATTAACTTAATATATTTTAAGGCTGTTGTTACGTTCACGATACCGTTGACAGTCTTATTTCTTCCGTTATCAACGGTAATAAGACGTGACTAGCTTAGACGTTGTGACGTCGTTATTAGTGCCGCCGATGTTCTGTTTTCTGGATCCACGTCATCACTGCCGATATTTTATGTTGTTTTTCATACCGTTTAATAATATATATATATATATATATATATATCTAGTGGTTTAACTACTACAGATCCCCAATTGAACATCTTCCTACCACTACAGATCCTTAATTGAACATCTTCCTACCTCTACAGATCCTCAATTGAACATTTTCTTACCACTACAGATCCCGTATTGAACATCTTTCTACCACTACAGATCTCTAATTGAACATCTTCCTACCTCTACAGATTCCCCATTGAACATCTTTCTACCACTACAGATCCTCAATTGAACATCTTCCTACCACTACAGATCCTCAATTGAACATCTTCTTACCATTATCTGTAGTGGTAGGAAGATGTCCAATTTGGGATCTGTAGTGAAAGGAAGATGTTTAATGGGGGATCTGTCCCTAATTGGACATATTCCTACCACTACAAATCCCCCATTAAACATCTTCCTTTCACAACAGATCCCTAATTGAACATCTTCCTACCACTACAGATCCTCAATTGAACATCTTCTTACCACTACAGATCCCATATTCAACATCTTCCTACCACTACAGATCCTCAATTGAACATCTTCTTACCACTACAGATCCCCCATTAAACATCTTCCTTTCACTACAGATCCTCAATTGAACATCTTCTTACCACTACAGATCCCCCATTAAACATCTTCCTTTCACTACAGATCCCAAATTGAACATTTTCCTACCACTACAGATCCCTAATTGGACATCTTCCTACCACTACAGATCCCTAATAAATAATTAAATAATTAACATGAAATTAAGTCAGGATATGAATGTTGATAATCTGTAACATTTTCATAACTGGAATAATTCCAGAACTTTTATTGTATGTAAGAGAATAGCACTATTATGGAAACAATAAACTTTTTTTTACACTTTGTGCTGCCATATACGTCATACTGTCAACCAAGCTCATGTCATTAACGTCGTTGATCTGGAAAGAACGGACAACGAAGGTACCGTGGTGGTATACACTTCGTTATTATAACTTCAGTTTTCTAGAGGATCAAAGATAAGCTCAGCCAACAGTCAATATCCAGTACCACAAAATAACAAATAACAAAGTTTATGTACCATTCTACGACTAATGATATATTCTGGAGAAGAACCAGTGTTTCTACAGACAGATCACGTGACGTGCAGCTGTAAAAAGAAAAAAAACCACCAAAAGCATTGATAATCCTGAAGTGTATAAAAAAACACGACTGATAACAAAGTTAGTCGCTAAATTTCTGATGACGTATTTTTAAACCACCACGTGAAATAACGTAATCAAATCAATTAAGAATTTTGGGCTGGCTAGTTTTAATAATTCGACACATAATATGTAATTAAGAGTTTGGGGCTGACGAGTTTTGATAATTTGACAATAATATGTAATTAAGAGTTTTGGGCAGACTAGTTTAAATAAATTGACACATAACAAGTAATCAAGAATTTTGGGTTGCTAGTTTAATAATTCGACACATAATATGTAATTAAGAGTTTTGGGCAGACTAGTTTAAATAAATTGACACATAACAAGTAATCAAGAATTTTGGGTTGGCTAGTTTTAATGATTTGAGACATAATATGTAATTAAGAATATTGGGCTGGGTAGTTTAATGGGTAGGTTATAAGTGGGATGTACTATAATTTCATTAATTATAGGTTATAAAGTACACAGACTGGAAGACTTTTGTGATAATTCTCTATATAAAAATGCCCTCCAGTAGCACAGCGGTATGTCTGCGGACTTACAACGCTAGAATCCGGGTTTCGATACCCGTGGTGGGCAGAGCCCAGATAGCCCAATGTGTAGCTTTGTGCTTAACTTCAAACAAACAAACAATCTATATAAAAATAATAATAATTCTCTATATAAAAAATTAAATACTATCCATCTTTAATATAAAGTTAAAATATTACTGTATTATTTAATGTAAACAGTTGAAGGTACCAACTGAAGTATATAAAACTAAAGTTACAAAAGAAACTTCATGTAGTGTTATACTGTGGTAAGAGTTTAATTTACAACCATATCTGATACATCATTACAGCAGTGATGTATTATTATCATTGTAGAACCACATTGGTTGTTAATTTACAGTGGCTACAGTTTGTTTACGGCATTGACAACACTGTTGCCTGTGTTTCCCCCTGTCAAAATATGACCTATTTTTAAACAGTCTTAGAATGATGTAGTTGAACCTTTTGCGTATTTCATGAATGTTCTTAATAAAATTTAATTTTGATTTGTCGTTTCGTGAAATGACGTTCATTTCAAGGATTGTGCTCATCACACGATTACGTTTGCAATACCTTTAAAATACATATGTCTATGATTGCAGAAGACAGAATATGACGATTGTTTCAAGAGTTGTGCTCATCACACCATTACCGGTTACAATACCTTTAAAAATATGTCTATGATTGCAGAAGTCAGAATATGAAGTTTGTTTCAAGGGTTGTGTTCATCACACCATTACGGTTACAATACCTTTAAAAAATATGTCTATGATTGCAGAAGACAGAATATGGCGTTTGTTTCAAGGGTTGTGTCCATCACAACATTACGTTTACAATACCTTTAAAAATATGTCTATGACTGCAGAAGACAGAATATGACGTTTGTTTCAAGGGTTGTGTCCATCACAACATTACGTTTACAATACCTTTAAAAAATATGTCCATGATTGCAGAAGACAAAATATGACGTAATATGTCTACGATTGCAGAAAGCAGAATATGACGTTTGTTTCAAGGTTGTGCTCATCACACCATTACGTTTGCAATACCTTTAAAAATATGTATATAGTTGCAGAAGACAGAATATGACGTTTGTTTAAATCATGGTTTACAATTACACACGTTCAAATAACAATAACGAAATAACGGATATTTTTGCTAGGCCTCTGGTGGGTTAGAGCTAAGTTTAAGGACTACTACCGCTAATATCCGAGGTTCGAGTCTCCGTTGTGAACAGATCGTAGATAGTCTCTTATGTAACTTTGCGCTAAAACAAACAGACAAACAAGTTTTATTTTATAAATTATACACGATGCTATAAATATATGTCAATTTTACGAAATATCCTTCTAAGATAAGTAAGAATAATTATATCACGATTCTAAAGCAATTATTCACGTGCATATTATGAGCAAAACAGATTTAAGCAACGACAGATTCTACCGTTGATAAGAAAAGAAAGAACACCTCGCGTGGCTTTACGTGAAATCCAACAAACAAGCGCTTTCATTTTAATAGTTTTGGAAACATTGTTTCACTAACGATAAATGGAAAACACGAGTGATCTTAATCTAATTAGGTAACTCTCTATTTCTGACTTTTTCGTCTAATCTCTTCCATTTTCTTCCTTTGTGCTCTTTCCCAAAACAATTTTTCAGCCAAACGTTTCCCAAATGTTTTATTTTACGTATGGTATGTTTTAGTCATATAAGAACAAAGATGACTTTTTTTTTGCGTGCAAGAAAAAGAGAAACGAACTAAAATGAACGCTCCTTTTCTTTCTGATTTAACATCAAATTTATTGAAATCTTAAGAAATATAAACGCAAGAAAATTGTTTGTTTTGA